GGAAGCAATTTAATCTATACATTGAGTCTAATATTCACAACATTTCATCACTCATATACAGATTTTCAGAACCTGTTATTAGATGCAGCAAATAGGTTCATCCCTAAGAAAAAGCGTTTTAGATTTTCTAAACCTCAAATACCTTGGGATGAAGAGTGTTCTGCTTTGATTAAATCAAAGAGGGAGGCAGTTAGGAAGTTTAAGCAGGAACTATCTTTAGAGAAGTTTATTAATTTTAAAAATATTAGAACATATTGTAAAAAGAAACTTAAGTCCAAAAAGAAAAAATTATTTGCCATATTTTACTCCACTATCTCTCCTGATACCCCAATATCAGTAATGTGGAGGAAAGTGAGAAATTTACATAGGACCCTATCTAATGTCTCAGTCAGAACTCCCAGCAATGCTTTATTAGGGGGAGGAAATGCTTATCTCATTGACTCCACCTGTGTTTGAGAATGTTACATCTCACGCAGTGAGATGCAACATCTTCCAGAGTCAGCAACCAATTTTCTGCTAAAATTTTTCAATTTATGTCTTAAAGGGTAAAAACATATTCCAACACAATGAAAATCGAAAACAATTTGTTTAATACCCAAACCCAACAAAAATAAAAATTGTCTTTCAGGTTGGAGACCAAGTGGCCTAATCTCATGCCTCAGTAAACTTTTAGAGAACATGGTAAAAATAAGGTTAGATTGGTATGTAGAACATCATCTAATTATATGGCCTTTCCAAACAGGTTTTCGTAACGGTAGAAGATGTCTGAAAACATTATCCATCTGGTTAATAAAATTTCAATTAATATATCAAAAAGCAAGCCAGCTGCGGCTGTTATGTTAGACATTTCTTCAGCATATGATAAAATATCTATTACCCAATTATTAGACGCTCTGGGAAATCTCAATTGGCCATTGTTGCTTATTGAATTGATTAAACATATATTGACAAATTGTTCGGTGTTGGTCCGAGATCCTATTTCCTTTAATCTATTGGGGCCAAAAACAGCTATCCAAGATTCTCCTTTGAGTCCAATATTATTCAACATCGTTATTAACATAATACCATCTTGTGTGCCTGAGGATGTCCTAATGACTCAATATGCAGGTGATGTTGCTCTCTATTTTTTCGGCTGCAGCTGGTTGGAAGTGGAAAAAAAATTAAATGACACAGTAGAGAATATATCTGTAAAACTTCTTAGCATGGGAATGTGTTTGTCATCTAGCAAAAGTCAAACGATTTTTTTTTATAGAAATAGAAATAAAACTCCGAACACTCAAATATTAGTAAATAACATCTTGCTCAATTGGAAACAGGAAGTTTCTCATCTAGGAGTTATTTTAGATAATTCCTCTCAGTTCATATTATTTTGTCGGAATGTGGAGAAATACCGTTAGATCTTAGAAGGATTTGGCTACCATCTAAATTTATATTAAAGGTGGCAGCATATGACGACCCAATATATTCTTTAATCGAGCAGTTTCATAAAGCATTTTTGAATTACTTTAGTTTTTGGAGAAGAAAATTTTTCCCACCGATACTGGCTCCCTTCCAGAATACGCTTCATGAGATTTATGAGGTGGCACATAACTCCTTATTTCCTTGGCACTCCTTCCAGCTTGATTCTTAGATTTCTCCTACGGTTTATGGAACTCTCAATCTTGGAAAAGAAGGTAACCAAGCTAGGTTTGTGTCATGGTACCCTGATAACTGGTCTGAATATAAACTTATCTTCACAGATGGGTCCAAAGATAAACAAGGTAATGTGGGCATTGGTATATACCTTAATAAAAGCACCGAATTAACAGAAAGATTACCATCTGCTAATTCAATTTGTTCAGCAGAATTATTTGCGATAAAAAAGGCATTAGATTTAATTCAACAGAATAATTTTGAAAAAGCCTTATTTGTAGTGATTCAAAAAGTGCTCTGTCAAAACTTAGTCAACTCCATGAACAAAATAAATAAATTAAATTCGCATGGATTCCAAGTCACATCGGGATAGTGAGGAATTATAGAGCTGATTATCTTGCTAAACTTGGAAGAAAGCTACTTGTTACTGAAGAACCAAAGGCTTTCTTTAAAGATTTTTAAACCAGATATAAGGGAAACCTATGGATCAGGTTTTGGAAAAACCGGTTTCAACAAATAGGACTGGTAAAAGGACTGGTACATATCGTACAAATGTTACGATTCCATATAAAAAGGCCTGGTTTACAAGGTTTCCCAATCTGGAAGGGGCATAATTGCACAAATGTGTCGTATGAGAAGTGGACATTGCAGCGTTCCGGTTTATTTATTTAGATTGAAAGTGAGCAATACAAATATGTGTCCATGTGGCAGTTTAGGTATCTTACAGCATGTGTTGTTGGAATGTACTAGATATCAAAAGGAGTCTCAGTTACTTAAAAGTGAATTTCAAGGTGGTCCCACATTCATTGATGTGTTGTTCAAAAATTTAAACTCATGTAGTGCAAAAGTTTTTAGCGTCAATAAGGTCTCAAGTGTAGTTCATTAATGTACATTATATAGTCCGTCTAGAAAGTATCCGGAAAAAAGAAAGCAGAGTTATAATTTAACGGTATTTATTTCAATCATTTGAAATATAAAATTTCAACAAATAATTCATCCCATATACTTATACAACCTCCATTTAAATAGAAACAATTAACTAAACCTCCTGGTACACCCGAAACTAGGTCAAGGCCATAATTTTCGGTAATGGTGTTACAGGCCTGTAAAACTGACCGAATCAAACCTTCTTTATCTCGTGGCACTGCTCGTCCCACTTAATTTTCATCAGTATCCATATGTTTTCAATGGATCTGGAGAAGCTGCTGGCCACGGAATTGTTCCCAATTCGTGTTCTTGCATCCAAGCTTGAATATAACCAGAAGTATGACATCTTGCATGATCTTGCTGAAAACGCCACCCCTCTAGATAGAAAACATGAGCCGTTTCAAAAAGAAAACCATTTAGGATGTCACAATATTTCGCACTATCAACAGTACCATAACTATACAGAAAGGTGTAGCACCACACTGATACATTGTTCCCCAAACCATTATTTCAGTGGGAAATTTGGAAATTTGAACGGTAACATTTTCTCTTGATAGGACTTTTAAATGATTTGCACCAAGCTGGAAACAACTTTCATCAGATACAAAGACTATAAGATTATTAAAATTATCTTCCCGAAAACGATGACAAAAAACTATTCTTCGTTCGTTGCCTTTGCAGAGGAGTCATTGTGGTGATTTTTTTTTTAATTAAAGCCACTAAAGCATTTAAATTGTTTACGCGAATCTTACGCGCTTTACCTGAAACTGATCTGTCTCATATCTATCCCATTTTTATCCTTTTTATTGTCTCATAAACTGCACTTTTTCCGAGTTCGGTCAACTGCACTAATTTTTTAACGTTTCAAATACCCTTTCTATACAAATTTTCCACCACTTTTCTTTTTTGTACTTGCGACATTATTTCACAAATCTTAAGTATGTTTACAAACAACAATATTTGACAGATGGTGTTGTCATGCGATTTTGTCCATAACCTACTATCGGCACAACCTACTTGATGCATTACTTTTGTCTTAAAATGTTATAAAAAGAAAATCTATTAAAATTAGAAAAAATATAAAATTCCGGATACTTTCTAGACGGACTATAGGATTTAATCTGCTTGCTGGATTGCATGTGCTTAGTGCGGTTTGGTGAAGTGTTATAGGACCAGAACAATAGAACTTTAGAACTTATGTGAAAGAACTTTTGAACATTTAACTTTAATTTGTTTTTTTTTTTCTCCTTTAATTATTGTTGACGGTTCAGGAGCTATGAGCTTAAGCCCAGATGTACCTTGGGTATAGCTATTGAACATTTAGTATAAATACACAGATCCTTATCTTTAGAATCTTTAGAATAGCTCGAGACAGAGACAGTTTCGCCATGTTAATCGCCAACGTCAAGGGGACTTGATAGGGCACGTTAAGAAGAAGACACAGATCCTGGCCGGATAGCCCTGGTAGCTAAGGCCAATAAAATGAATGGAAGAAGAAGTAATACAATAATTGCTCTATTAATTGGTGAATGTATTTGAAGTAGAAACGAATTATTTAATTGTATAACAAAGAACTGAAATACTCATGATAATTGGGTATGTAGACAAATCGAAAACTTATGTGGAAGTGTGTAATGTATTTATACTAATATCTCGAGATCTGCTCGAAATTTGATCCGAAATAAAACTTGTCAAAAGCTCGGTTCGGCTCGGCTAGAGTCCATCCCTTCTTCTTCTTCTTATAGTGCCGTGCACCGTGCACCTATAGTGCGTTGGCGAATTATCTTAAGGCCAGACGTCTGTCTTTTGCGGCATGCAAAAGATCGCCAGTGTTATTTATGCCTGTCTAGTTCTTTATTTGTTTGCGGCCTACTTCTCTCTTCCCTTAAATCTTTCCCTGAATGATTAGTTGAGGGATTGCGTATTTTTTCCTTTTAGAAATTGACCGAGGTATCCAATTTTCCGTACCTTGATCAAATTGAGTAGTTCTCTCTCAGTATTTTCCTTTGTTAAAACTTTCTCGTTACTCACCCTATCTGCCTATAGTATGCGGAACATTCTTCGCAACATCCACATTCGAAGGCCTCCAACTTATTACTGGAAGGTACTATTAACGTCCATGTTTCTATGCCGTATACATACATAGCATTTAACCATCCGGTAGCAGAGATTAAAGGAAAGATTGCGGTTATATAGTAGTGGTTTAAATTTGATAAAAGATTTGATTCCATCCCTACTCAAGTTTAATCTTTGTTTGACAATTATTGTTTTCACAATTTTTATGACATAAAAAAAGCACATTGAATATATTTTCCAGGTAGCATTAACCTGATTATCGCCAATAACGTTCGTTAAGCAAATACAACAGTCCAGGAATAATTTTGTAACATACTCTATAATAAAGAAAATACTAATACATTAATTAACAAAGTAATATTTACCTTCTCACCCTCTCCACATTTTCATTTTCTTGTGGTTCAACTGCCATTTGTTTTGTGTCTTCGGGACTTGAAAAAGCCTATAAAAATTAAATTTATAAATTTGATGGTTAATAACTTTAAAATAAATTAAACAAAACGAATATCTAAATATTCCAGACTTATAATTCAAGACTAGGTCAAAGTGAACTTTAATAGCTTGCGTCATATTGTATAACCACAGGTTAGCGAACTTGAAATTGTTGAATTCAATATCATATATGTTACAAAAATCTAATTTGATTTTCTAAATATTTATATCTTATTTTACCTTTTACTTGGTATATTCTTCTTATTGCATTTTTCCTTTATAAGTCGAAGTAGAGATACAGGGACTTTTATAGATACCTTTTACCTGTGTATAGATCTGAAAGCAGCTTATAGTCTCAAAAGAAAACATATATTTTAAGCAATTAACACATCTGACTCTTATCAGGTTGATACGATGAATAAATATAATAATGCCAGAAGACACATGTAAAGTAAAAGTACGGTAGACAAGGAAGGTAACAGGGCCAGTGCTACGCTTCAACTTCGATTCGATCTCCATTCGATTCTACATGGAAGTCAGATACTATATCGTCAAAGCTATCAGTCTCCTATTTTATATAATTTTTAACACTACTAACACTAACACTTTAACAGGTATACTAAATATACACTGAGCAACAGAAGCCCTGTATTTAATAAATCGATTCAAATATTGAAGGTGACTTTAAGAAGTGTAAAACTTTAATATTGTTGATATAGTTTGGACAAACAGCTAAAGCCAAAGATATAATTACTACAATAAAAATTAGATACCTGTAGGTAGCAGTACATCTAGATAGACAAGTGAAATCTACCATTGAAGATTATTCTCTTGGCACAATCTGAGGAAACTAATGCAGAGATAGAAAAAAGGTGGACGGATGATACAAATATGGAGCTCATAAAATTTGATGCGGTTAAATCACATAAAGCTACATGAAGTAGGACCAAATAGAGAAGCAAACTTAGAAAATTACTTAATTACGATCATATAACCATAATGACTATGAGTGAGAGAGATAAAAGAACAACACCTGAAGAAAGATACAGAGAAACGGAAATCGTGGATGACCGATGAAATACTTCAACTCATGGATCAGAGAAAAAAACAAAGAAAATCTCCAAGAATATAAGAGAATACATACTGTCATCAGAAGAAAAATAAGAGAAGCCAAAGAGAAACAAAAAACAGAACAATGTCAGGAAATAGAGGAGTATCAGAGTCGATATGATAACTTCAATGTTCATCGAAAGGTGAAGGAAATAGCTGGAAAGTTCCGAAAACGCAACAGCGGAAAAATAACAGATGATAAAGGCAATCTTGCTATACCCAGGGAAGATAAAAAGAAAGTATGAAAAGATTACTTGGAGAAGCTTTTCCATAACCTTAAAACGATACAAGAGCCCACCATTGAAGAAAATTCAGGTCCCCAAATCCTACCAGAAGAAATAACGGCAGCCGTCAGACAAATGAACGATAGAAAGGCACCGGGACTTGATGAAATTCCTGTAGAAGGGTTAAAGCTCTTGGAAGAAGAACAAATAAAAATAATAACTGAAATATTTAATGAAAAATACAATGTAGGAAAAATACCGGTAGAGTGGCTCAAATCGGAGTTCGTACCATTGTCCAAAATACCAGGAGCAAAAGTTTGTGAAGATTATAGGACCATAAGCCTAATGAGCCATCTGCTGAAGCTTTTTTTAAAGGTCATCCACAAAAGAATTTACGGGAAATGCGAGGAACAAATTGCGCCCAATCAGTTTGGATTTGTGAACGCCGTTGGTACGAGGAAAGCTTTATTTAGAGTGCAGATATTGTTTCAGAAATGTAGAGATGTTAGCTGTAATGTCTTTGTATGCCTTACTGATTACAAGAAGGCTTTCGATAGAGTCAGACATAAAAAAATGATAGAAGTGATGAAGAGGACAGGAATAGACGGAAAAGACTTAAAAATAATAGCTAACCTGTATTGGAATCAATCAGCGGTACTCCGAATAGATGGAGAATATACAGATCAGGTCAAAATCTTAAGTAAAGTGAGACAGGGGTGCATAATTTCTCCATTGATATTTAATCTGTACTCGAAGCAAATTTTTGAAGAGGCTCTAATAATGATGAAGGTATCTCAATAACTTGAGTCAAGCTCAATAACCTGCGGTATGCAGATGATACAATAGTGTTTTCCAATACCATAGAAGGGCTGCAAAACTTAATGAACAAAATAACGGAAACAAGTAGAAAGTATGAACTGGACATAAACACCAGCAAATCCAAGCTAATGATCATCAGCAAGGAAAACATAACTGGAGCAAATCTGTATGTAAACCAAATGAGAATTGAACGCGTCTCACAACACAATTACTTGGGAACTAGAATCAATGAGTCGTGAACAATACCCAAGAGATTAAATGTCGGAAAGAAAAAGAGTGCATTCTTGACTATGAGTTCTGCGTTTAAGAGCCATGACCGCACCCTAGAAATAAAAATAAGGCTCTTTAAATGTTATGTGTACTAAGTGCTTCTGTACGGAGTAGAAACGTGGACATTAAAGGCGGAAACTCTATTAAAACTTCATGCTTTTGAGCTATGGTCATACAGAAGGATCTTGATCTACTGGGGAGAATAAACACAACTGCGGATTTGGTCAACATCGTGAAGGGCCGTAAGCTGCAGTACTTGGGCCATATAATGAGAAATCAAGGTAGATACGAGCTACTTCAATGCATTTTACAAGGTAAAATTGAAGGAAAAAGGGCCCCAGGACGAAGAAGAATATCCTGGCTTGCTAACCTGAGAGCATGGTATAGAAAGACCTCAACACAGCTATTTCGTATAGCAACCAACAAAGTCATAGCCAGAATGATCGCCAACATTCGGAACGGACAGGCACCCTAAGAAGAAGATATTTATTAATTTTATTATTATTTTTTTGTAAAGTTTACTGATAATTTTCTACAAAATAGAACTCAATAAAGTCAAGTTTCTTATTTGGGTCCGTCGGCCAATTGATGGGCTTGCCGATAAATAAATAATCGTATTTTAATCCTTTTATGGTGTCAGAAACTATTTACTTTTATTTGTAGTTAATCTGGAACCTAAATCGACATATTTTGCAACAAAGTTGCCTCCTATAATAATTCTTTGACCATGATCCATCAAGAAATTTTATGTAGCTTTCCTCATTTAGTGAATATCAAGGATGAAATAGAATCATCATCATCATCAACCTGTATGCATCCACTGATGGATAAAGGCCTCATTAAGCTCTTTCCATCTGTCTCTGTCTTGTGCGGCTTGCATCTAGTTATTGCTAACACGCTTCAGGTCGTCTATCTAGTTGATGGGCGTCCTCTGCTCCGTATTACTTCTTGTCTTGGTCTCCACTTGACAATAAGTTCTGTTCATCGGTTGTCTGATAATCTGGTGACGTGTCCTGCTTAATTCCATTTTAGCGACGTGATTTTTCGATGACGTCTGTTGTTTTTGTTCTACGGCCTATTTCTTCGTTTGGGATTCGGTCTCTCAGAGAGACACTCAACATCTGGCACTCCATAGCCCTCTGAGTCACACGAATCTTATTCACTACCTTTTTTTGTAAGTGTTAATGTTTCCGTTAAAAGGTAACACACATTGTTCAAAATTTTCCTTTTCAGGCATTTGTGTAGATCCGATTTAAATACATAGTTTATTTCACCAAACGTTGCCCAGTCTAATCCTATGCGACGTGGGAGCTCACATGTCTGGTTATCTCTGCCCATCCGAATTTCATGTCCTAAGTACTTATGCGATGTATTCTGCACAATATCCCCTCCATCATTAGCAATATTTCGATTTAGCACCAGATTAGTCATTATTTGCGTCTTGTTCATATTAATCTTTAGTCCGATCTCCAAGAAAGCGTGATATAATTTTTCAAACATTATTAATGAATTATCCAGACGATCCGTTATAAGGACGATGTCATCTCGAAATTTCAAATGACTGAGCCTCTCTCCATTTATATTAATACCATCCTTGTTTAAATGTGCTTTATTATAACAATGTTCTAAAAGCATCGTGAATAGCTTTAGACAGACGGTGTCTCCTCGCCTTACTCCTCGTTGTATACAGAATTTATTTGTTTCTTGTTTTGATAGTCTTACGCTAGCTGTTTTATTTTGGTAGATATATTTAATTATGTTAGTGTAGCGATGGTCTATTCGGCATTCTGTCAATGCTTTTAACATTTCCTGATGGCTTATGGTATCGAATGCTTTCTCGTAGTCGACAAACATCAGTGCAAATGGTTTATTGTATTCTGCAGACTTCTGTATCAGGTACTTTATCACTATTAAGTGGTCGTTAGTGCTGTATCCCAATCTAAATTCAGCTTGTTCTCTAGGCTGATAGAAGTCTTATTTAACGTCCAGTCTTTTTTGGTAATTGTTGTGAAAAGTTTATATATGTGTGAAAACAAACTGATAGGATAATAGTTTTTTAGATCTGTTCTCCTCGCTTTTGTAATAAAATAATGACTGCATTGTTCTATTGAGAAAGAGTTTTTTCTTGGTAGATGCATTCAGTGAAAAGCTTGGCCAAAGCCTGGATAATTTTATTTCCACCTATTTTGATCGCTTCGATCACTACTCCGTTATCACCAGGCGATTTGTTATTTTTCATTTCTAAAATTGCCGTTTTGATTTCGTATGGAGTTATTTCTGGCATTAATTCTGATTCCTAGTTTGTGATTTTGGGCAGAGGCTGATCTTTGCTTGATCGGTGCTCTCCTGCATTTCGCGATAAAAGGATTCGACAACTCAAAGATTTTAGTTCTATCAGTAATAATGTTTCCATCTTTGTTTTTTATTTGGTACATATTTTTGTTGCCTATGTTGTTCGTATTGCGCCTCAAAACTGTTAAACTGTTGTTTTCTTGAATTATTTTAGTTATCTCTCCGTCAGCTGTCTTCCTTAACCTATTATTTTGGCTTCTTCTTCTTCAAGTGCCATCTTCGTTCCGAAGGTTGG